CTACTTAAACAGTATGGACCATTTTTGGGACAAGTTGTCAAAGAGGGTCGTGATGTCAGAAAACTGGTAAGACAATTGTTCGAAGGTTCTTCAATCCTTACCAGTATGCTCGAGTTGATCAAGAAAGCATGGATCAGATCGCCATCGTATCACATCTCAGATGGATGATCGTTTTATCGTTCCCTAACAGCTGCGCGATACGTTAAAGATGTGTTATCAGGAGTTGTTCCTTATATGTCACTAATTGGCGACGGTTTTTTTTAAAGCATCGCAAGGCCGTAGACAAGATCGTTCATGACTACTTGAAACGGGCTTCAATTCAATTAAAGTGGCCAACATGTAATCCCGCCCAAAATATTCTGGAACACTGTTCGGACGAATTGCCAAAACGGTTAAATTCGCCTAGTGATGACAGAAAATTTGCAGGCATCTTTAAGATTGGCGCTGTTGGAGGAGTATGAAAGTATTGCACAGCACTGCATTCAAAACCTCATAAAATCGATGCCACGTCGAAGGCAAGCGGTGATCAAACGCAATAGGAGGAAATACTCCGTACTCAATTGAATATTTTCTTCACTGCTTCCATAGCAACATTTTTCACAAAATTATTTTATTCAGTTTGTTTTATTTAATTTTTTTATTCAGCTATATCTAATATTTTTCTTTAAAAAGTCTATACAATTTATTTACTAAAAGTCGAGGGTGGCCACTTTTCTTTTTGACTTTCATATAATATTAAAATAATTAGAGTACATTTTATTTTGTATTATAATTATCCCAGAGGTTTCGGAACAATGAAGAAGATAAGGCCGGATCGGTACTGGCCACGGGGTGAGCGGGAAAAGGGATGATAAACCCAACTCCTAAATATGAGCCTAACGGGGCATGGAAAGAGATAAATAACGAGATGTAGAGGGTGGGTCGGGTATTATACAGACGATGTTGCAGTCGGAGCTACGGTAACATATATAATACACTCTCACGGAATATAAATCGAGAATATAAGAAACTTTATCTGACCCAAATTCCCAATTAAGCCAGTCCCATTTAACAGCCATGTCAAATTTCCTCTTGGCACAAGAAACTAACTGTCTTAGGAAATTATCCTAAAAACTTCAATGAAAAAATGAAAATTACGACTAATTTTTTTTTAAATCCCGAACTTTGATTTAAAATAGAGCGTTCTTTTCACTTGATAACACAAATTTAAAAAAAACAATTTATAAATTAAAAATAAGGATTAAAAGGTGGATAGTGAAAATGGTTTTTTTCTACTTTTGAAGCGTAAACTGTTTACCTAACTAAATATGATTCTCGGTTCGCCTTCCTATTCTGATGAAGTTTTTAAATTTTTCCTCAACGAATTGTATCAAAATTAACTTCTTCAAACTCTTCCCCAGACCATCAGTTTTCTTTCCTCCGTATAAGTATTGTAAATGCAATGTCCAAGGTTTTAGAATCTATCTACTGATGAAGCCAAGAAATTCTTGAACCATTCTTAATTGACGAGCAGATTTATTTGACTGGGCGCCCAACTTCTACTGACTTAACGACTTAGAAGGAATTCATTTTTAATGTAGTCGAAAACTGGGACAGAGTTGAGGCAATTATGGTGATATTTCTAAAGCCAATTGAAATGTTCTTGGATTAAGTTCAGCTTTATCTCTCCAGTATTCTGTGCAAGCTCGGGGAAGGTGTCCACCACGTTCCACATCTACCACCATATGTGTGTGTGTGTGTGTGTGTGTGTGTGAGTGTGTATGTGTGTGTTTACCACGTACAAATATTACATTCACTTAACAAAAATTTATATCAAGTTCGATCATACAATTCACTGTCACTCACAAGAACACTTTTTTCTGGAAGCCACTTAAGCATTCTGCTCACCACTTGTCTTATCACAGATGGTCTTTCCGAATCAAAAAGTCTCCAGTGAAAGATAACACGGTCCGATGACGACGAAGTTTTGTATATATATATATATTCCCTAAAGGTCCGGGACACTTGGTCGGCTCACGTGTCCTGCATAAACCTCTTGGACCTGTTCACATACCCCAAGATTGTGGACCATTTTATCTCGGGGATTGATTTGGCGATGTCCTC